TTATAAAAAGTATATTTGATCATTGTATATTATACCTATATTCTATTATATAAGTATCCCATTTGCTATACTATACACTTAGTTTTATAGTACGAAAATTATAGTGACAACTGGTATGTATTTTTGCAATATTGACAAATTTTAATTTCAACTTAGCGGTTAAACTTTAAATATTTATAATATGTATTTAAACACGGTCATAACTTAGGCTTACGTCCTAAAATAATGTTACGTTAACTATGAATGTAAATATTTTTTTTTTTTTAAATAGATCATTAGTATTATTATTATTTTTTAAAGTATGTTTATTGGTATACTATGATATGACAACCAACTAATAAGCGCATTTTGAAGTGAACGGATCGCTAATGCAGTGTGAACGAGGTCATTTTTATCAATTCTGATGTTTTTATTATTTTATACTAAGCACACGTTAACGGTGAATGCATCGTTTACTGTAGAAAGATGTCGAACTGTCCAAACATTAAATATAGCGTTCGAAAATTACAAATTATAACAGAAATGGGGCATGTCAATATTTAGTTTTTTGTCTCTCATGTACAATTGGAAAAAGTGGACTTATCCGGCCAGATAGAGTATATTTTTATTACCGGAATACTATATAAAAAAAGGCCTCTTTTTTAAGCTATTTTTTTATATTTTTTTTATTTTATTTTAAGCTATTTTTAAGTACACGGGACCAACTCATGGAAAGCTTCGATTCACACACCTCTTTTTTATAACCTTCACAAAATGTATTCCTCTATATTATTTTTAACATGCTCATATAATATATATATATTTTTTTTTTTTAATTTAAATTTTAATCATATAATACATTTTTTGGGTAGGTTGTGGAGTATTTTTTAAAAATGTACTCAATAATGTCACATTTAATTTAAATGCAAATTTGTATTGATAATTTATTTATAAAGAAGATACTTATGCAAACCATACATTTTTAAAATATATTATTGAAAAAAAAAATTAAATAAAGGCAACATAATTATAATAGTTGTTATAATTGACAATACAATATTGTTTTTGTAACTGGTTTTTTTTCATCCTACTATAAATAAATATAAATTTTGCCATAAACTGTTAAAAAAGAATGCTACTCAACTTGTACACAAAAACAATAAAACATGTAACAGTTTTAATTACTAAAAAAGGGGTTTAAAACAATTTTCGCTAAAAGAGCATAACATATTGACAATAAGGTATATAATTAATTAAGTGTTAATTCTAATAGCAGTATTAGATGAATACTTATCAGAAATATATATTTTAAGACATAATTACTTTATACAATAACTTATTAACGTTCTATTATTTGGCTTCTACACGTTGTGTACTTATGTAGTCTTTGTTTTCAAAACATTTGAAGAACATTTTGTTTGTATTTCTTTGAGTTTGTCCTCATATTGCCACTTTTCTGCCAACTGATTCTCGTCCAGCCATTGTCTCGTCGAGTCACAGGTTTGTTTTGCCATGTTCTTTTCAGAACCTTCGACTTCACCTCCAGATGGATCCAATGCGTGTTGCACATCAAAAATGCAATCTACCAATTGAATCCGAACGTCAATCCTGGCCTTTTGTTTTTCATCCTCTTCTTTGAACCGGTCAGCCTCGCCAAGAATACGATCGATTTCTTCTGTAGTCAATCTACCCTTTTCGTTTTTGATAACTATACTGTTGGTAAAGTCGTTTTTGTTATTTGTGGCCGACACATTAAGAATACCGTTGCAATCAATGCCAAATGTAACGTCGACTTTAGCTACACCCTTGGGAGCCGGCTCAATGTCAGTTAAGTCAAAACTCCCCAATAGATTACTGTCTTTGGTCAGAGCTGTTTCTCCTTCAAATACTTCTACGGTCAACGCCACTTGGTAATCATAATATGTGGTGTACTCCTGTGTGATTCTACAAGGAACAGGTGTGTTTCTTTGTATAACTATTGACATTACGCTCTCTACTCTGATACTTACGCCCAACGACACCGGAGTCACATTAACGAGCGTTATGGTTTTATTTATAAAAACTTGGACACCTGCTAAGGACGGCTGCTTGAATGGCAGCGCCATAGGCAACTGCTTCGTCGGGGTTGATGGACATCGTAAGACCTTTGCCCTCGAAAAACATCTTCAACAGTGTCTGAATTTTCACTATTCTTGTACTGCCACCGACCAATACTACATGATCGATGTCGGTCTTTTTCATTTTAGCGTCGGTCTACGCACTTTCTACATGCCCAAGAGTCAGTTTGAATAAATCGCCACAGAGTTTATTAAAACAATTGCGCGTAATCACCGTCGTGTAATCGATGCCGTCTATTAACTTTTCAATATTGACATAGCCGTACGTTTGCAAAGACAACGACCGGTAGGTTCTTTCGGCGGCCACCCGAAGACGCCTCAGAGCTCTCGGACATCCCAAAATATCTATTTGGTACTTTCGTTTGAACTTGTCTGCCAAGTACTCGACTAATCTATTGTCGAAATCTTCGCCTCCCAAATGAGTATCGCCGGCGGTAGCTTTCACTCGGTATATTTCGGCGGTCTTCTTCAATTTCGCCAACACCGTGGAGCTGATTTCCTTAAGGGTCAGATAATTTTTCCCACCCTTGAACTCTACTTGGATTTTTATTTTTCCACAATCGTCGACCACGCGGAACGGAAAGTGTTTCACGCACTCCTCGATGGTTTTATCGTGGCTACGCCGGCCAATCATCCTCTTGGCTGGCGTCGAACACTGTGTTTTTGGAATTTACCCCAGCCTGATTTTTCGCCTCTTCGCCGATCAATTGTTCGGATTGTGTAAACGACACATAACTAGGTGTGGTCCTGGTGCCGAACTCGTTGGCGATGATCTCCACCTTGCCGTCTAAACACTAAAATAACCTAACACTAAAATAAATATAGCCAATAGGTGAAAAGTTCCACCCGAGATCACACATTCAAGCAAACGCTTTCGATGCCAATCTGGTTTATCCTACGCCGTAAGGTCATTTTAGGCCAAAAAACCTGATATAATTTCAACTTAGGATGGTCTAGCTAAAGTTTCACAATTCTGTCACACCATTTTTTTTACAAACAAAATAGCTTTTGCTCATAGAAAAAATCGTATACGATTTAAATAACAACTTGGATCTTATACGAATTCATCGGAAAACTAATTGGCTAATAATAAACTAACATGTGTGGATGGAAAGCCCGAAAATTAAATTACCTACCCAAATAGTGTCCCAGTTGCAGAGCTAATCATTATGTCATAACCACGTTTTAACGTTTAAAATATTATGATTTTGCGAAAAATTGCCTACACCCAACTCCTTAATGAATTTGACGTTCTTTGTTAACGAAGTATACTTTTCTTTTATGTAGCTAAATTGCCTACACTCGACCCCTTTTTTCAACAAGGCGATTCACCGGTCGACCCGTACCAGGGTCAAAGGAAATGCAAACCGTAGGAGGGCTCTATAATGTTGCCAACAGTTCTAGTTTTATAATTGAGTAGAAAATATAGCTAAGAAATAATCAATATATTATTTGTATAGAATGTTGCACCTTGTGCACATTAAAATTGCAATAAAAATAGTTTGTAAAGCCGTGTACTTGCAAAATAAATTGCATAAAAAATTATAAAAACAAAATTGCAAAGAATATTCCATAGAAATTTTGAACTCATTCGATTTTTTTAAAAAAAAGTCATATCATTTTAAGTTGAAAATTAGGCAAAATGTACATTTCTTGGATGTTTTTCTCGATTTTGAAGGGGTAAACTTTTTAAATGTTTACCCCTTAAAAATACCTTTCAAGTATGATTTCTGGAAATCAAAAGTAAAAACAATAACTTCTCAGCTGCGCATCGACTCCAAAAGCCAAATTGTTCGATTATAATCGATGTAATGTACTTGAGTAATTTTTTTTTACAATCAATATTTTCCTGACATTTATAATCATCTAAATTTAGTGTTATTTATACCTTTCTCTTTCTTAATGACAGTTATTATAATAGATATTTTACAAATAAAACTTATTAAATGTTAATTATTTCTTAAGTAATAAAATGTAACTGATTTCATCGACTTTGAATTGTAAGTTAATACTTACTTATAACTATGATGGCTGATAGTTCAATTAATTATTTTTCAATATGGAATTTCTATTGAAACTGTAGATTTACACATACCTAACCATTGTGAGTATTGCCGAGGTTCACACAATTAATTAAACATAATCAAACATTCGATCAGACTTACTTTACAAAATCCAGTTAGAAGTATACAGACGTAAGTAGATGCGCCAGTAAGATAAAATCAAATTTTCTTATGTACACTGCCCAGTTTGAGAACTCAGAAGGTCGTTTGGTCGCACCAATGCAAAGTTTTCAAAAATAATAAAACACTGATGTATTCTTTTTTAATCTATTTCGAAACTACTTTTTAATTGAAAATTAACAATAGGATACACTAAGTTTGGAATTGACGACCAATAAACAATAACAAAATGTAAAATATCAATAACATGGACAATGGACCTTTTGAAATTGGTCGGTCGGTGTTCGACTCGTTTACAGCATTTTATTACCGATTTATTAGCTATTTTTATTTACCAATAACCAACCAACAATTATTATTATTTTAATGTATAATATGGCGGTAATCTACCTTTATCACCTTTAGTACATACAATTATTACTACAATCTAGTTGGTTTCACGATCGTCATTTTTAACCGGACAATAAACAATACACCTAATAATTATTGAATACCTAAGACAACTTAAAATTAATTAAACTACAAAAAAATTCTAAAAAAAATTGTTTTAAATAAACTACACTTCACAACTCACTGATGACTAATTCTAGAGGGTCATATAATTGGTGGATTTGTTATAAATGAGATGTAACCTCTCTCGTGAGATGAGATTTTTACTCACATTTTACTGTTATGGTTAAGTTACGTATTGTGTACCAGTTTGATAAAAAAATACTTTCAATTATTTTTCAACGCACACCTGTAGAAAGTATTTATTTGAATAGAACGCTTTTTGAAATTTGTTTAGGTAATACATTTTTTTAGCACTTATAAAATAAAATGTGTACATGAAAAATGTTTAACCTAAAGATAACAAAAATTATATTTACAATAAATTTTCATTTTTTATAACTATACTTTTGGTAAAGCCGTTTTTGTGTGGCCGAAACACTTAGAATACCATTGGAGTCTATATTAAAAGTTATAATGATTCTGGGTATACTTCTGGGAGCTGGCTCTATTCCAGTTAAGAAAAAACTCCCCAAAAGATTATTATGATGACTAAGTGTACTTTCTCCTTCAAAAACTCCTATATATATATATTTTGCTCTTGTTTATCACTGAGTGTAGTGTAGTCCGTCATCTTACACGAAATAGGTGTGTTTCTCGGTATTATGGTGTCCATTATATCATCTTCCTTAACACTTATACCCAACAATAGAGGAGTGACATCAATGAGGGTTAAATTTTCAAATATTTAACTTGGATCTCCACTAAGAACGGCAGCACCGTAAGTAACTGCTTCATCGGGGTTGATGGTATTCAAATCCTAATTTTCAGTTATTTAACCTGATAATTTAAAAAATATATAAACATTAATTATGGTTTCAAATAAAATTTCTGTTTTTTAAGTTCCTCAGGTTTATAAAACCAAAATAATACTATTCCACTAACATTTAGTCACATTTTAATTTACCTACAAATTTATTTTTTTATCAAGTTGTATTGTTACAGGGTAATCATGTATTTTAAACAATTTTTTTTTATATTTTATAGAATTGATTAAAAAATTAATTTAGTGAACTTATTTTTTTATACTTCATAAAGGTGAAAAATTTAATTACAATTTTTGATTAAAGTATAATAGAAAGCAAATTCAAAATTAGAATGTTTTTTTTTCAAACAAAATTCCAAAGGTACATCAGTTGAGTGTTATTGACATTAATCTTAATATTGAGTGTAAAAACATGATAATGTCAATCTTCAGTTATCTGAATATAATACTTTCATAACAAAGGATTGGGTAACAACTAGAAATAAAACTAAAACTTAAATGTCTAGATATTGATTGAAAAATGAAATTAGAAAACTTATCTGGCTAATAACCAATTGTTCAAATCTTACCAGTACAAATTGTGAGTAAAATTTCTTGATCAGTTGTAGAATTGGGTTGGGTACACACTGGGAAAAATTAATCCGTTGCTCATAGTTATGAGCTTATAAGGTTACATCAAATTTCTGATTTCTGCTCTATCTGTAAAAATATTTAAATTTAATGTAAATTATTTATATTGAAATTATACACAACACAAAAAACTATGAACGCTTTAATATTTATTAAATAATATTTACTCCAAAGTGTCAACCATGTATATAATTATTATATTTGTATAATTTTTTGGTTCTTAAACATCAGAACAATTACATATTTTTTAACACATAATGAATAAACTCATATTTAAACTAGGCACTCAAAAGACTTTAAACAAATTAATTTAATAGTTTTCTTTACTGAACAACGATAAAAAACAATTGTGAAATACATTTTTTGCTTGCCATTACATTGTTTATAACCAAATTTAGTTCATATAATGCAATAACAAATACATTTTTAAAATGTACAAGTACATCAACATACTGTTCAAATAAACAAAGCAGAAATTAATAAATTTAACTTTTTAACATAGCAATGGATTAACAGTATGGATAGTAATTAAATAAGTATTTTTTATAGTAAGTTAAACTAAAAAACTTAAGATAACTTTAGATAGAGCTTCTAAAGGGTTGCTAACTTTTAGACATTTTAACATCACATACTGTCTATTTTCTTAATGAATATTGAACATTTTGAGCGCAGGCTATTAAGCATGAACTCATACTCCTCTTTTTCTGCCAATTGATGCGCATTCAACCATTTTCTCGTCAAGTCACATATTTGTTTTCCTTTTTTTTGTTCACGCTTTGTTAACTGTGTGTTTCCCAAAAAATTCAATGTGTGTTGCACAACAATCATGTAATTTTTCAATCGATTCCGGGCCGCATTATTGGCTGCAGTAATCCTGGCTTTTTGTTTTTCATCTTCTATTTTTTTGTGACATTCAGACTCGCTGATCATGCGATCAATTTCTTGTTTAGATAACCTACCCTTATCATTTTTTATAACTATACTTTTAGTGAAACCATTATTTTTGTTTGTGGCTGATACAGTTAAAATACCATTGGAATTTATACTCAATGTCACATCGATGTTGGGCACACGTTTAGGAGCTGGCTCTATTCCATCCAAGTCAAAACTTCCCAATAGATTATTATCTTTGGTCAGCATTCTTTCTCCTTCAAATATTCTAATAGGAATTATCGTTTGGTTATCATATAATGTAGTGAACTTCTCCATCTTTGTACAAGGAATGGGTGTATTTCTCTCTATAATAATAGACATTTTGTCTGCTTCGCCTACTTCTATACCCAATGACAAAGGAGTGACATCAATAAGTATTGGGTTATTAATTGTGTAACTTAAGTCTTCGCTTAGAACAACCGCTTGACTGGTAGCACCATAAGCTACTGCTTCATCTGGATTAATGGACATTGTAAGATTTTTACCTTCAAAAAAGGTTTTCAATAATGTCTGAATTTTGGTAATTCTTGTACTACCACCGACCAATACTACATGATCTATGTCGGTTCTTTTTATTTTAGCATCAGTCAATGCTCTCTCCACAAGGTTAATAGTTTGTATGAATAAATCGTCACAAAGTTTATCAAAACAATCACGTGTAATAACAGTCTGGTAATCAATGCCACCTTTCAATACATCAATATGAATGAAACCTCGAGTTTGAGAAGACAACGATCTTTTAGTTCTTTCGGCCACTACTCGAAGACGCTTTAAAGCTTTTGGACAATCCATAATATCTTTTTTGTATTTTTGTTCAAACTCGCTGGCTAAATACGATACTAATCTATTGTCAAAATCTTCGCCTCCTAAATGAGTATCACCAGCAATAGCTTTCACTCTATAAACATCATTTTTTTCTTTTTGTAGAATAGATACATCAAATGTACCACCGCCCAAGTCAAATACCAATATATTTTGTTCGTCTTCAAGCCAATTGTCCATACCATAAGCCAAAGCAGCAGCTGTAGGCTCGACTAGTATTTTGAGAACATTAAGGCCTGCAATTGTACCAGCATCTATAGTAGCTTGCCTTTGTGAGTCGTTGAAATACGCTGGAACAGTAATTACCGCATCTGTAACTTCCTCGCCCAAGTATATTTCAGCAGTCTCTTTCAGTTTTCCCAAAATCATGGAACTGATTTCCTCCGGCGAAAATTCCTTTTGTTCACCCATGAACTCAACTTGGATTTTTATATTTCCACAATCGTCAACTACCTTGAATGGCCAGTGTTTCATATCTTCTTGTATCTTTTTGTCGCTAAAACGTCGGCCTATCATCCTTTTGGCATCAAACACGGTGTTTTTTAAATTTATGGCTGCCTGATTTTTGGCTTCTTCGCCAACCAATCTTTCCGTATCTGTAAAAGAAACATAACTAGGTGTTGTTCTGTTACCGTACTCGTTGGCGATGATTTCGACCTTGCCATTTCGCCACACACCAACACAAGAGAAGGTCGTACCCAAGTCAATTCCGATGGTCGTTTTACCCACCATATTTGCTTAAAGACCACTTAAAAATTGTATTATATGTATATAAAGAAAAAAACATCAACAACTTTATAACCTTATAATTTTGAAGAAAAATTAACACATCAATGCCGGGCTGTTGACAATGTAAATACATAATAATAAGATAACAATTTTAATTGATGTGATAATCTGAAATTTACGTTTGAGATTCAACGATATGCCTATAAATAGATAGACCACTTTCCCGCTAAAAGTACTGTCAAAACATTAAAGCCAGTGGTTCTCAGTGAGCACAAAGAGATTTTGTAAGATTCATTGATTGGTATTTGGTGGGCAATTTAAATCACATCGGTTCGGACTCCGGTCATAAGTTAGGCACAAAAAAAAATCACTCATGTAAAAAAATATAACACCATCTCATGCATCGAATCTAAAATAGTAGTAACTACAATGGACAAATATTTAGACGATGGTTTAGATATGTTATGTTATGTACTGTGTGTTAACTTAAATTATTAAGACATATTAAGGACAATATTTTCCTTACAGTCTATTTACAGTCGATTATTTAACATAGATTTAAAAACAATACTGTTGTTTACATAATAGCGTTTTTATACAATTCAAAAAATCAGAAAGACTGTTTTGTGAGTCTTCTACGCTAAATTAATAAAGTACTAAGCTGTGTTAAATTTTACATATAATGTATAAACACATTATCAGTATAATTAGCAAAATGTAAAAATCTTATTTAACCAAGAAAATATTACAACTTGTGTAATGCATCGTATCCACTTGTATGTACGATAAACACATTTTTGATACTTTATTTAACTAGGTTTTGATAAATCTAGATATTCGACACAATAAATAGTATTAATTAAGCAACAGCAGTATGTACTATTATATAAATCACCTAAGGTTTATATTTTGTTATGTAGTGAAATAAAATAATGCATCTAACTAATGACCAATTTTTAAATCTTACCAGTAGAATTTTGATGAAAAATTTACTGTTAGCTGGAGAGTCGGACATATGTAGTTACAAAATGTATCCGTTGACAGACCGATAATATGTAATCAACAAGGTTAAGTCAATTTTCAGCTGTATCTGTAAAAAACAGTTTACACTTAATCTTAATTACTAGTATGTCACATCTCACTATACTTTTTAGTGGTAAAAATTAGCTTTATACTTCTATAATATATGTTATTTTAATCTTATCAACACCATAGAACTGCATGTCTCATAAAATGTTATAATGAAGAACCTTGTAATTGAAACTACTAGAAAGACTAATGATAAATAAGTTATTAGTATGTTTTTATTAAATTATAATTATTGAACTTAACTTTTTTATTTTCCAAGTACTTTCCATAAGTAAAATAAAAACCAACCCCTCATTTTATATATATATTTAAAAAAAAATAAAAGTAGATCATTCGTTATAACATAAATTTAAATGTGTATGTTTAAGTATAACAATGAGATATCAACTCTACGATTGTATATTATTGAAGAAAACTTTACATAAATCAATTATGATATATCATTGAGAAAAAAAAATTTTAATAAAAAAATACTTTATGTTCAATATTTTTATTGTACCTAATTACCATACATAATAAAAATAATACTATTACAATAATGTTAAATATTTTTATATATTCAACTTATAATAAATTAGCAGTACATTTATAATAACAGAATGATAAATAATACTTAAATGAAAATTGATTTCATGTTGTTGATATTAAAAAACCAAAACGGATAAGAGAGAAAAATTGCAATTAACTACTTAAATGTTTTAATACATTCATTTTTATTAACATATAATTCAAATTAAGTAACTGTTCAACTAAACAATGTAAACCTTATTATATCATTTTTTATAAAAAAAAGGAACTGTATTAACTACTGGAAAAACTAATACAAAAAGTTTTCTCATAAAAATTATACAGAAATGGTAGTAAATTTATAATTTTGAAGATTAAAAAGACATATATTAAACAATTTTATATATTAAACTTAACAATGGATAAAGAGTATGGATATTAACTAAAATATTTAATTTTTAATAGCAAGTTAAAATTATAAACGTATGATAACTACATTTTCCAAGGGTTGCTTACGTCCTCCATGGAATTCACATAAAAAACTCTCCTTTTTCTTCAATATCATAGAACATTTTGAACGTAAACTGTTAAGTTTGCATTCGTACTCCTCCTTTTCAACCAACTGATTCTCATTCAGCCAAATTCTCATTGAGTCACACATTTGTTTCGCATTGTTTTTTTCAGACTCGCTGAGTGTGTCTCCAAACTTTTCCAATGCCCGTTGTATGTTATAAATGTAATCTACCAATCGGTTCTGGGCATCATATCTGATCTTTTGTTTTTCATCCTCTTTTTTGTACTGCTCAGCTTCGCTGATCATACGATCAATTTCTTCTTTAGTCAATCTACCTTTTTCGTTTTTGATAACTATACCCTTAGTAAAGCCGTTTTTGTTATTTGTGGCCGACACATTAAGAATACCGTTGCAATCAATATCGTATGTCACATCGACTTTAGCTACACCCTTGGGAACTGGCTCTATTCCAGTTAACATAAAACTTCCTAATAGATTATTATCTTTAATTAGTGCTCTTTCTCCTTCAAATACTCCTATATTCATTTTTATTTGGTTATCACACATTGTTGTATACGTCTGTGTCTTTTTACAAGGAAAAGGTGTGTTTCTCTGTATTATAATGTCCATTATATTTTCTTCTTCAACATCTGTACCCAACGACAGAGGAGTGACATCAATAAGTGTTAAATTGTTATTTGTGTAACTTGTGTCTCCAATAAGAACGGCAGCTTGAATGGCAGGACCATAAGCAACTGCTTCATCGGGATTGATAGACATCGTAAGATCTTTACCTTCAAAAAAGGTTTGCAATAGTGTCTGAATTTTTTTTATTCTTGTACTGCCACCAACCAACACTACATGGTCTATGTCTGTTCTTTTCATTTTAGCATCAGTCAGTGCTCTCTCTACAAGGATAATAGTTAATTTGAATAAATCGTCACAGAGTTTATCAAAACAACAACGTGTTATTGTTGCCTGGAAATCTATACCAACTTTCAGCTCATCAATACTGATCAATCCACGAGTTTGCGTAAACAACGATCTTTTAGTTCTTTCAGCCACTACTTGAAGACGCCTTAAAGCTTTTGGAGAACCCATAAAATCTTCTTTGTATTTTTGTTCAAAATACGATACTAATCTATTGTCAAAATCTTCGCCTCCTAAATGAGTATCACCAGCAATAGCTTTCACTCTATAAACATTCATTTTTTTTTTTTTAGAATACATGCATCAAATGTACCACCGCCCAAGTCAAACACCAATATATTTTATTCATTCGCTATCTTACTGTCCTCACCATAAGCCAGAGCAGCAGCTGTAGGCTCGACTAATATTTTGAGAACATTTAGGCCCGCAATAGAACCAGCGTCTCCAGTGGCCTGCCTCTGTGAGTCGTTGAAATACGCTGGAACTGTAATTACCGCGTCTGTAACTTCCTCACCTAAATATTCTTCAGCCATCTTTTTCAATTTTGCGAAAATCATGGAGCTGATTTCTTCGGGCGAAAATTTCTTTTGTTTACCCATGAATTCGAATTGAATTTTTATTTTTCCACAATCGTCAACTACCTTGAATGGCCAGTGTTTCATATCTTCTTGTATCTTTTTGTCGCTAAAACGTCGGCCTATCATCCTTTTGGTGTCAAACACTGTGTTTTTGATAAAAATGGAAGCTTGACTTTTGGCCTCTTTGCCAACTAATTGTTCAGTTTCTGTAAAAGATACATAACTGGGTGTTGTTCTGTTACCGTACTCGTTGGCAATGATTTCAACCTTGCCGTTTCGCCATACACCAACACAAGAGAAGGTCGTTCCCAAGTCAATGCCGATGGCCATTTTACCAACCATATTTGCTTGAAGTTTAAATATATTTTACTATGAGTATATAAACAATTAATAACTAACTTAACAAGTAACTTAACACACATAAAGTGTGCTATACACTGTATGTAGTGAATAACGAAAATAACTGCCGGTCTGTTAATAATGTAATTAAGTGAGAATAAGATAACAATATAAATGATGAGCTATATTATCTTAATTGATGTTTACTTTTGAAATTTTACAATAGACCTATAAATAGAATGAATATAATATGTTGGGTTGGCTAATCAAATATACAAGCTATGTTTAGGATGCCTTAACATCAATAAAATATAAATACTATTTAGCATTTTATGTGTATTACATGAGTGTTTTAATTAAATATTAGATGTAATTTAATTAAACTTTTGAAAAATACTATTTTTTTAATACATTATCAAACACATACTTAACACTAGTCTAAAGTTAGTACCAAAGCCCAATTTGAATAATTTATAAATATTATGATAACATTATGTTTAAGAAATTAACATACATTTCAACATAAAAGTATTTATCCATGTAATATAATTTCTAAAATCTTACTTGAATATTTACTTTTGGCTTATGTCTTGAGAAATATTCTATGGGATGTAAAGGATCTCGGGTTGGTATACATTTTCAACAGCATCTGTAAAAATCAATATTTTACATTATAATAATTTTTGGTGATAAAATTTTAACTTTAATGTAAAAAAAAAATTAACTGTTAATTATTGTTACAACAATAAATGTCTTATAATCATCTTGTAGGTATATAAATTGGTTTCTTTAACCACATTAGAAATTAGAAATTTTATATTTTGAAGTTAATGATAATATTTAAAACAGTAATTATAAAGTGTTTATCATTTAGTGTCCTAACAAAAAAAAACAAAAAACACAATGCCAACTTACTTTACTCATACTAATCAGCCTTTGTTCTTTGACTTCTTGCAGTAAACTTCTCTTTTTCCTACCACGTCAACTGGCCGGTCTAGTTGGATTTTTTTATTTTTTCTCTTTTTATATTCTTTGATTATGTTACAAAAATGTTTGCAATCTAAGTAACGCTTAAACAGCATCGTCTACGTAAAAATACCTGAAACAAATAAAATAAAAATAAAAACATCCGGCTACATTCTTGTTGCGGTGGATGCTTTAAATGTAAGTTTTTATTGTGCTGTCTCGTCTGGTCGCCATAAGAACCAACCATAAATGGTCTGCAGCTCTGAAAGTGACTTAAGCATGTTGAGGACTAGTTCCAAGACTTTGTCTGACTTAAACCACACACAAATTTGGCCAACACTATCAGGTTTAACTTCAACATTGCGTCTTCGGAAATCCTAAAATATTAAAATTTGATAAGCATTATAAGCATACATTTTATAACATAACAAAACACAACTAATAACGGATTTATGTATTGCATCTATGCAAACAGTTTATGTTGTTTTAACTGGCTTAGTCCTTTATTGGTGTCAAAATCGGCCCTGATTTTGTTCGTATATTTTTTTTATACTACAAGTATCACCATTAGCCGAAGTACTTGGAACTGTTCCTTGATTGTACTTGACAATTTCCACTCATCTTATTCATAGCTGGATCTTCACAATCAGTCTTTTCAATATTACTACTTTTTTTCTCATTTAGCATCATCTGAAAAACAATAAAATACATTATTTTATGTCTTAAGTGACAAAAACTATTAAAGAGTAGAATGAAATTAAAAAACGCTTTCACAATAGGTGGAATTTTCCTAGGTGTATTGTAGCGATGGACGGGAAACATATTCTTAAAAAATCATCCCCTTAAAGTGGATCAGAGTTTTATAATTGTAAACACTAATAGAGTATTATATTATTAGCATTAATCAATCACAATTACTGTTTTACATGTAGGTACCTATTGACGTTGGGCAAATGGAAAAGGGTCCAAAGGTGGCGTATTTCAAGAAAGCTCTCTTTGAATCAATCGAAAACTTAACTCTAAATACTCTAGATGGTACTGTAAACGTCGTTGATGATGCAAAACATATTTAATGAAACCATACACAACAGAACAAATTTGACAAGAGAACAAGTAATTTCCAACTATAGATTGTCCAGAGCTAGAAGAATATCAGAAATATTTTTGTAGTTTTTGTAAGCAAATTTGTGAGTTATCCTTTAAACAGCTAATAACAAAGACAAAATTGTTCACTCTTGTTGTTATGAATTCATAACTGGTCTTATTGATCATGAAGATTAAAATTATAAAAGGATTGTGGAGACAAAATCAGAGTTGCTTGATTAATCTTCAACCAACAAATTATAGAAATTATAGTAAAGAAGCTAAGAATACATTGCAGACTATTGCACCTATTTAAATAGAGAAGGAGCTGTCATACGACAATGGAAATTGTGTGAATAATAAATTTAACTTTTTTAATTAATTGTTTAAAAATTAAATTAAATAGATTTGCAATCAATTTTTAACTTTTAATTGTTAAAAAATTATACTAATAAACATACACAATTTGAGAAACCAAACAACATGCAGTACATAAAAATATTTTGCGGAAGATTCAGATTTTACACTAGCAGCAATTTTTCTTTTTAGTTCTTGGCAATATGAATTTTTAATTTTCAAACTTACTTATAACATGATCCGGTCCAAAACCTTCAAGGATGAAATGTTATTTTTTATTATTTCAAATATATTTTATATAATTCTATTTAAATCTACGAGTATCTCATAAATAGGACTAGAAAAATGATGCACTAAAAACCTATGGTAAATGCGTTAAAAAGTTATCAATAATACTACAAAAGAAATGCTTTCAAAACAAGAAAATGCTCCTAAAAAATGACTTGAAAATATTTAGCTGCAAATAATTTGTAACACTGAATACTAAATCATATAAAACAACAACATATTGTTCCATAATATTTCACAAAGGGACCGGATCGTCACGACTTTGGTAATTATAATTATTATTATACAGATAAAAATTATATACTTTATAGATAGTAATAATAGGTACCTTCAATATTAATTGCTTTAATTATTCTTTTTACAGCCTCACTTCCATTTTTGTACGATTCCAAATTAGTATCCCATAAAATTTCTTCTTTTTCATATCAGTCGACGAAATTAAGTGTCAGTTCATCATTCGTTATGGAAACATTCATTTTCACACTCATATTAGGTACAATTTAAAATGCAAATCAATTAAAAACACTAAAAAATATAATATACAGTACCGTCCAACTGTCTCTCCACGAATGAGCTCTCACACTTGAAATATCCAACAACCTTAGATATTGTAAGAATAATTAATTTTCATGACAAAAATCTCATGACAACAATTTTATTTTATTTTTCGTTATCAATTTGTTCTGTTATCAAAATAATGTACTCTGCAAAATCTTAACTTGTGATAAGAGTTATCTAAACACATTACAAAACTGGGAAATTATTTGTTAACTATTTCACTTTTCAGCGTTTTTTCTTAAACCTGATTCCAACAATTAAATTCCAATTGTACTTCTTTTTTTTTGAAAGAACTTTTAATATTAAATCTCTTTAATTAAATAAAATTTCGTACCGCAACCTTCAAATGAAATTGCCATACGCATTTATGCCCTGCGATTATTATTAAATCAACAATTTTAATGAGTACACTTTTTTTACAAAATGTATAATTAAATATTAATTTTTATCTATTTTCTTCAAACACACTATCTCAATAAAGGTAGAATCAGTCGATTATTATAAAACAATTTCATTAGTTTTTTTTTACAAAAGCATCATGATAT